TCTCTACCATGGCCTTCAGCCATGATGTTCAGCCTCATCTCAGGGCTACAACAATGGAGTCAGGATCACTCCACTGCGACCCTTGAAACCATTAGCGTAAATAAACATTTTCTATTCTAAGTTGTTCTTTCAGGTATTTTGGTCACAGCAACAAAAAAAATCTAACACAGTGTAAATGTTAATTATTTGCCATTCCAATTCAAATGACTACAGATCATTTTTAATACCAAAAACCTTGACCTTTCCCCTCAGTTCTTGCAAAATGCTTAAGAGTTAGGACAATACTCTTTCAGGTCTATGTAGAAAACAAAAGTATCCAAAAGTTAGGTCAACATTTCAGTATTGCAAAGTAGTCAGTAACAGAGCCAAGTTAAAATAAGATCTCATTATCTGTACTTCTGCAGAAAGTCTCTCTAAATTGTTTTGCTACTTTGGTCATCCTCCTGATTAATTTACAAACATTAAAATTTCTCCAGAAGTTATATTTTCTAAAGGCTTACTTATGAGAAAAGGGATCCCTTTACCATCTAAATACCAGAGAATACCTGCTACCCAGGAAATTTACTTTAATTGAATTCTTGTCTTATTTATATCATAAGCATACTGACTGTTTTCATACTTCTTTCATTCGGGAGAGGACATAGGTCCTGAATGTTCCTCTGTTGGGCAGTATATAGACAAGCTGAGAGCTTTTTACAGCTGAAGGCAGACATCATATGTTACCGTGACGTTCCACCACCGCTCAGATGACCTGAGCTCCATTACTCTTTCTGAAGCTAGTAAAGGTGTAATCTTGGTGCAATCACTTACTCTCTCTAGGTTTCAGTTTCAGCATTTTAAAAATTGGTTGGGATGAATGCTTCAAATTACATGATGCTCACATGTGTAATTGTCAGAGCACAACTATATCTTTCAGCCTTCAAATGCTTCTTTTCTATTAACCAGGAGCATGATGACTGTGAGGTATTAACACTCTGAGTCAATAAATTGCAACCTATAAAGCTGAAGCATCAATAAAAGGAGCATGAATTTCCCATCCCCTTTCAAACTAAAACCAAAAGAACAGAGGCACCATTGAAATGAAAGTAATGAAACATTATGCCCTAAGAGTACCCTTATTGACAGTTCTCAAGGGATTTATTGAGTATACTAAACTACAAAAATACACATTTATTCTAACAATAAATAACTGCCTTGCCTTTCAACATTATTTTAGTTTTAGCAATACTGTTTAAATGTCCCAAGAAATAGAAAATCATTTACCCGGAGAAGAGTTTTGCAAACAAAATGTAGCTTAAAAGATAAATCTGTTTGAACACTGCTTAACATTTTAAGCTCATCGAAGGATATTAGTGCTAGGAGGCTCCTTCAAGTGTCCTCTCACACAAGGGAATGCCAAGGACCGGAAAGTTAATTCCATTGCTCAAGAACACACAGTTAACAACTATTGAGGCAGGATAGAGTCAGAGTCTCTTGACTTCAAATCTAAGGCTCATAGTTTCCTGGAAAATATCTATTGCCACCAAACTTTTGATGTAAAACACCCATTACCAATGACAATACACATTTGTTTCAGAGCTGTTAGTACATTTGTTCCTTAAATCTGGCGCACGAAAACATTTTCCAAGATATTCTCCCATTTACTACTATAACACACACTATTGGTATAAGAAGTCAATCAGAAAACATTTTCTCAAGTGTTTTGAGTCCATGCCACAATAAATATTTGCTAGATTAAGTACAGTTTACATAAAATAGTTACATAACCCAGCTCATTATTCTGTTGGTCTATCATAGTATTCTATATTCTATAATCCTATTTAAGATCAAATGCACCAACTATCGAATTCATAAACTTCTTTGGACTGTAAAAATCCACAGAATCAGAAAATATGGTAATTTCTCTTTTTTAAACATTTGCCCATGAAAACATTTAAGTAATTCTAATCAGTAAAAAAAGAATATATATGTATGTGTATAGTTGTGTGTATATATATATGTGTGTGTGTGTGTATATATATATATATATATATATATATATTTGAAACTATAAAGAGAAAAAATTAATTAAAAACTAAAATTGGCAAAATATATTTTTAACAAAATAGCATTTTCAGCCATAAAAAAATTAAGTTAAAAATGAATCTTGGGGAAAATATTTGTCACACACAGTCTAAACCAGTTATCTAATGAGTATAACCAGAAGCAAAACAAGCCAATATTACACTATAAGGTGAGAGTGCAAAAATAAAGAAACAATATTAACTATAAACTCAAATGCTATAGAAAAAAATTAACTTTTCCTATAATACTTACAGGGTCACTTACACACACAAAAAGGAGAAGGCATATAAAGTGGAGTGCAACAAAGATTAAGGGAAATTTACAGGAATGCCTTTCAAAAAGTGGAGTCTAGAATATAAAAGGTCTTACGAAGAATTCAAAGAAGATGTTGTTGTCGACATACTGGTACTCAAAGAAGACATAGCCTGACTTCTTAAGGTGCACAGCATAGATTAGAGACACCGTACAGTCATCACGATTAGACTCTATGTAGTTTCCACGAGGGATCCAAGAAGAGCTGTGGAAACAAAGCCAAGATGCATTTTCTGTTAGTTTTCAGAAACCACTTCAGGTCACAAAGCTATACCCCAGATTCAAAAGTAGTTCCATCAGCAAAGCACAGCAGAAAACACCCTGAGCTTTTTCAGCTGCTCTAAGGCCAACTCCATTACTGAGGGGAGGTTCATTTCCTGATAGTACATAACTTCCTAAATCATTGAAGGTTATCTGAGCAATTTTCTATGAAACTGCTATTTTTTCACCAAAAAAAGTTTGATCACCAACAAGATGAACACTAACCCAGTAGCCTTAAGTGGAATTATTCTTTCAAACAACATCTTAAATTTTATTTATAAACATATACACACACACGGAAAATCTATGGAAAGGAAGAAAGAGTACCATGATTGTACATATTTAGATTAATATATAATGTGTAATTTTTTCATATTTTAAGTCTTTTAGAAAGTTATACACCATAAGAAAGAAAACTCATCAATAACTGAGTTGGCATTTGAGTTCCTAAATCTTTTTGAGGTTGTGTCAATGACAAATGATTATTTAAAACAATCATTGTATTTCAGAAATTATGTTTCTAAATACATGACAATAGCACAAAAATGAGAGTATAGGTGTAACTACACTCTTACAAAAGTATAATAACTACCTACACTATGATAAGAACACATATTGCAATTTCTAGCCTTCACAACCCAGTGTTAGCAAAGATATCATAAGATATAACAAAACTACCTGTAAGAGATAAAATTGATAAACTATTATTTTTTCAAATTTTAACCTTAATGTTATCAAAGAATATCATTAATAAAAAAATAAAAGCCACAGACTTGAAAGTAGTATCACAAACACACATATATGTATCTGTCTTAATATACAGTAAATATTATACAAATATACATGTACAAGAACGCATGTCCATAATATACAAAGAACTCTTTTGGCTTTATATTTAAATCTTCTATATGACCAAACCAAAGAAAAAGTAAACAGAATATAAGATCAGGTAGGTGGGAAAAAGGAAGGGAGCAGAGAAGGAAAAAAAGCATAGCAATATCAAACTGAAATTTACATTGAGAAAATTATACCAAAAGACACTACTTTGAAAAACCTCTGCTTATCATTGAATTTTTTTGATAAACTATTCCATAGGGTACACGAGGAAGCCCTGTCCATATCCTCTGATCACCAAAACAAAGATCTGAAGTTTTATAACATCCTACTAGTACTCTTCTCTAAGGAAATATTTTATTTAAAACACAATGTGTGCACACACATTGCTGAAGTTTTGAAGGTGGTTTGTCCCTGCCAGATCCAGACTGAAATTAATAGCCAACTTAAATTGTGCTCTATATGTGTAATAAGGATTGTAATGCATTCTACAGTTGTCGTGAATTTAAAAAATAATAATAAAATCAATTTTTAAAAAAAGTAGCAGAGCCACAAATAAGTGTTGGATCATGGGATCTGAGCTCTCATGAATAAATTCATGTTTTTCTCTCTATTTCAGGAGGTTGGCCCCTTTTTCTTCCTTTGCATATGACAACATTCATTTTCATTTTCTGCCTTGAGTTGAAATTTTATGAAGCCCTCCTCAGATGCCAAGCAGATGCCAGCACCATGCTCTTAGACTTCTGGAACTATGAGCTAAATAAACCTCTTTTCTTTATAAACGACTTAGTTTCCAGTGTTACAGGAAAAAAAAAAGACTAACAATTAAACATAAAGAATAATAATATTATGATCAGTGGAGTATGATAAATCAATGTTGTTTGGCACAGTGAGCTAAAAAGAAGAGTGAAGGTAAGAAGGAGAGAAAGAGGAAGGGAAGGAAAGAAGGAAACACATCGTCTAGAACAGCTAAATAATTGTCCAGCAACTTAGATCACTGCCAACAGACTAAGAAGTAAAACTTCAAGGTTCCCGAGAAACCCCTCTTATCAGAAGTTAGCCAGGGGCTGGAAGTTTCATTTTCAAAACATGGCCACATAGTTACATAATCAATACAAGAGGACAGGAAAGGGCAAAGCCCAAAGAGAAATATTTGGCTTTTTTTTTTTTTGAAACAATTTAACATGTCTCCAACACTGCCATAGGCAAAGCTATAATCTCCCAGGAACTAAACAAAGGCCACATTAGTTATTTAAGCCACTTGCTCTTGCAGGAAATGATCAAGTTTAAATGAAGGTTATAAATTTTTCCTTTTGAAAGAAAAAAAAAACAATTTGAATTTACCCACTAAAAATTAGAAAAAGGATAGTAGAAACATCACTGACTTAAGTTTGGTTTTAAATATGAGAAAATTTTTTTTTCCTAAAAGCTTTATTGCTTTTTTGCATACAATATCTATTATATACTGAGGGTAATTATTTTAAAGCTTCATGAAAATTTAGCTACATTATTTGTAATGACTATCCAAAAAATATGACTCTTTGCAATTAGCTTATCTGTAACCCCCATCAGTAGTAAGATTATCCTTAACTTCTCTCTGGAAAAGAGAAACTATACCCTTCTCAAGTACTCAGTCAAGATCCAAAGGCTCCTTTGGATTCTTACTTGTTACAGCCGTCTGGCCTGTTGTCAGAAGGGCCCACCACAGTGTCCATGAATGTTGCAACGTTGGAAAATCCTGCTGGCAATTCATCCCATTCATCAAATTTGATGCCACTGCCCAAGGAGTAGGTGCCTTCGGCACACTTACTGCATACCTGGTTCTTCATCTCTAGATACTCTCCAGAAGCGCAAGAGAAAGCTAGAAGGCAGAAGAATATGCAACCCATTAGTCACTGGAATTCTCCATTAATTTTTTTTCCCTTTACCCTACATCACCAGAATTATTTTTATAGAACTGATCACATTACACCCTAAGAAAAGGCTTCTAATATCTGCCTCGTCGATACATACGTTGCACAATCTGGCCCTGATTTTACCCAGCTCATCCCCTTGTCTCACCCTCTTACAATCAACAAAATGCATATCATTCCCCAAATACTTCATCCTCCCTCTTGCTGTGATGGTCTTCTTTCCCAGAGATGTTGGCCAACTAACTTACTCTAACTGGTAAATTCTGTTCCCAGTTCAAAAAATGATTCTCTTTATGACTGAACACTTCAGTATACCAGGCAGTCATTTCTGCCTCCCTCCATGCCCCAAAGTATACTCTACAGAAGACCTCCACTAAAGCATTTTATATCTAGAGAGACAACTTAGCAGGGAACATGTGACCTTCAGCTGGGGGGGAGGAGGCCATTATTTTTGGATTCCTAGCTGTATCTGGCACATACCAAGCCTAAATAAAATGTTCAGTTAGGAGTGAGAACTAAATATAAAGGGACCACAGAAGGGCAATATGATAGCTAAACCAATTATCTCCATTCTGAAGCCTCAAGCTTATGTTTTCAATGTTCTCAGCACCACCCTGGTCATATCTCCTGTCCACACCTACTTCTGATATCTTTATTCACTCTGAGAACTGCACCTAGAGATGGCAGACATGGGCAATGTAAGAACAGTTAACATAGTTAACAGGGAAAGAGGCAGTTCTTCTGCTAAGTCATTATGCATTCAACAAATGCAAATCAATGTCCCTGAAGCTAAAGGCTCTGGACAGGGTGGTATTAGTGACTCAAACCTAGAAAAGGGCTTTCTAATCCTTTAATCAGGATACCAAAGAAAAAAGAACAAAATAAAATGTCCAAATTATCTGATGAAGAGAAACAAATCTTCCAGCAGAGAGTGAAGCAGCAAAGCCTCACGTTCAGGCAAACTCCTCTTTCAGAATACACTAAAAACTTAGCCAGAGATAAAAACAAGCTAATTTTGAAAAACTAATTAAAGAATTAGAGCTAAAACCCACATTCACCCACTTACTTATCCACTGAATTAATATAATGCTTCTCTTCAAAAAACTTAATGCTGTACAATGAACTTTTAACATTCAGGTCAACATCCCCAAATAAGTAAAACATTGGAAAATAAGGAAAGGTTAGGCAAAGAATATTGAATACCAGCTACAAGTCCAAAATTATCCTAGGGATGGAGGATACAACTCTAGGACTAGATTATACCTTGTCCTAATTTCGTGATCTAGAATGAGTTACTTTACCTCTTTAGGCCTTGATTTCTGTTCCTAAAAAATGAGATAATTATTACAATAGTTGTCTTATAGGGCCATGCTGAGAAAATAAATTATAGTATAAAGTGATTAACTTAGTGCCTGGCATATAACAAATGCTTATCACATGTTATTATAATTACTACCAGGACAACCAGTAGAAACCCAGGTAAGGAATTTTTTTTTTTTTAAGCAAACTCAGAATCACATGCTATTTCCCTATTATGATAAATGATATCACAAACCAAGAGCCAATATTACAAAATCAAAAATTTTTGAACTATAGCCCACAGGCCAAATCTAGCCTGTTTTTATAGTCTTAATAAGACAGCTATGTTATTCATTTTCATATTGTCTATGACTCCTTTTATAATATAATGGCAAATTTGAATAGTTGCAAAAGAGACTGCATCGTCCACCACAAAGCTGAACATTTTACTTACTGATAAAGTTACCTTTGAAGACAATTTAGCCTGCCTGGGGTTCAAAACTGACCTTTTAATTAATTAATAAGAATATTTTATAATATGTTGTTATAAGGGAGCATAAAAGCTAAAACGAAGAAAAATTGTGTTTGAGAATCTTGCCTTTTAAACCAGTGATATTATTTCAGAGTATTTATTGCCCTATTAAAAAGAACATCCTAAACTCTTTCAGAAGTACTGTTGAGTAAGAAGGAAAACTAAGAAAAAGTTGAAAGTGAATATACTGAGTCTTTATAATATACTAAAGTGTTGCACTTGGTACTTTACAAACAGTAAACTATTGTTATTCTTGCTAAATTTATACAGTCTCTGGGAACATGAAATTAGTAAACACTGAGCCACTTTTCCTAGTGAAAATTCAGGGTTAGCCTCTGGTCACAAGATCTCCATTTATTTCTGTTTAAAAATATTTTAGTAAGCTAGATGTGGTGGCACACTCCTGTAATCCCAACAACAAACTAGGGAGGCTGAGGCAGGAGGTTTACAAGTTTGAGGCCTCAGAAACTCAGGAAGACCCAGTCTAAAATTTAAAAAATGAAAACATTTGGACTATAGCTCAGTGGGAAAGCATCCCTGGATTCAATCCCCAGTAACAACAATATCTTATTTAACATAAATTGCTGATTTATTAACATTGAACAAACAGACAATAGCCCTACAACTCACACCTCAACAAGGCTTATAATATTTTATAAGCCTTATAAAATATTTTCTCCAAAAGGCATATATCAGCCTTCTTTGCTTAAGATAACTATTCAGTACTTTAGCACTATACTTAGAGGGCTATTATAAGTGGCAGAATCTCCTAAGTAAATACTTAAAATGGTAAAATCATGGCAACTAAATGGACCACAAAGGGATATTTGTTTATCGTATGAGAGATCAAATAAGAAGTCATTCACCTTGTTCATGGGTAACTAAAATATCTTACAACGCTGTAAATGACTAAAAACTTTACATGTACTGACTTCAGGGTCATGAATAAATCACAGCAAATGGTCAAATTTGCAAATTCAGGATCCTTGAAAAATTAGGATCAACTGTATTTACAAGAGACCTGTGAGGAGGGTTTTATGCCCATATACCAGATAAGGAAAGTAAGCCACAGGATATTTAAATAACCTGATTATAAAGGTAGCCAGTTAATAATCAGTAAAGTTAATATTCAAATCCTAGTCTCTCTTATTCCAAAGGTGTTACCCGAAAGAAAATTTAATTCGAGCAACCAGCTAATAAAAAAAGGGTGAACAAGTCCAACTGAATTCATGATTGTACTTCACGTCATTTTTCATTTCCTGTCCTTAACTCTTAAGCAATGTTCAAATGAATTATAAAGCAATAAATAAATAAAATTTCCCAGTTTTATATTTATTATGGAATTTTTAATGCATTGTACCTAAAACATGCATTTGAGAAATATTTTAGAAGTTCCTAACTTCCATAAATCTAATGACTTTGCGTATGAAAGGAAGACCATAATAATAACTATCTCAAAGAACTTTGAGAATAAAATACTTCATTTAAAGCATCTGGCAGTGTACCATTCATAAAGACACAATAAATATTAAATACAACTATTAGTAATATAATACTAATACCTACTAGATACAGTTTAGACTTCAAGGGATTGAGTTCAGGGGCCTGGGAAATACATTTTAAAAAGATCTTGGCTACTGGATTAATGGTATTGTATTTCTTCAGAACAATTATATGGTCAAAGTTAAGACTAGGCATAGGGCCTTTAATAACACAGGAGAACTAAAAAGGCTAAAGCTTTTCACACTTTAATCATTTGCTTCTCCTCAATATTTTCTTTTTCATCCTCATAGCCAACTTCAGAACTACACCTTCTGTGTTAAAATACAGTCGATTCCACGGGTTTATGTCAACAGCACTGCAGACTCATTTGGCAGTCACCAGCTATAGTCAGATTTTCTTCTGCTGATATCTTCTATGTCAGCCTCAGTAATTTTGTTTCAACATTGCTACCTTGGCATTTGATCTTTGATTGGATTAAAAGAATCCTTTATTGTTATTTGTTATCTCAGGGACTACATTCTTCATTCAGATATTTTTAGAGTACTACTCAGGACATTTTCAATAGGCAGGATGATAGCTATTATATTATAGCTGTTAACTGTAGTGGGAACTGACCATGTCAATTTAATCAATTAGTCATATCTGAAATACTGTTTTTATTGTTCAAAAACCTTGGAAAACTAGAGTAACTTAACTGAAATAAAGATAAGCAAACCCCAAAGTTTTGATACAATAACAGAAAGACCTTCTTGGTTTAGGATCACATACTACTTAGCAGTGGGCTCAGTCTGGGATTTCACATTCTTTACTGAAGCATCTCATGGAAGAGAGATTTTTTAAACTCAGCCCCTTGAAGTCTAACTACAATCAGGAGGCCCCGGGCTGCACTCACTGTTCTTTTATTCTTGGTTTTATGCCTCTTCTCCCATTATCTATTTCTGCTACCGTGAATCTGTAAAGGTTCAAATATGCAGGTGTGAGGAATCAGAAATAGAAAAAAGCATTTGTCCATCACCAAGTAGCAATGTCTTGGGCAATTCACTTAATCCTCCATGTCTCCATTCACATGCATTTTACTGAGAACAACCCTATCCCTTTCTCTCTGGTAGGATTGCTTGTGGTGGTCTAGTGAGAGACAATGGAGCCACTATCTCTGTGGAAAGTAAAGAGTGATATGAAAATCCAGAGCATTGCTATGATCATGCATAGACCAGAACAATGAGCCAAATAAGTTACTGAACTGAATCATTTATGTGCTGATTTTCATCTATGATTTATGTCTAACAATAAAGAGCAACTATTTTTAATCTTTTTATCAAAGGGCCTCTTAGATTTAGCTTTTCTTCCTCCAGAGACTTCATGCTTTGAAAGGTTATGGTTATCAATTACATTTATTCATAATTCATTCATTTTGCTATTTTTGTTCAATTTTTATTATTAAAATGTTTTCTAAACACCAAATTGAAATAATATAAATAAAAGGACTTCTGACTTACTTGTTTAATGAGATGTTGATGATATAATGAACCTATGTAATTTTATACAAGAAAATATCTAGGAACCACACTATATTTAATTTATTCAGCAAAATGTCCTGAGTACCTACTATTTGTT